CATGAACACAGATAAAAACAGGTTTAAATGGAACGAGACATCTGGGCCGCTGTAGTCGCCCGGACGTTCAACGCCAAAATTTTTTGGGCTGCTATAGTCGCCCGGACGTTTGAGTGGATATCCAGAAATAAATTAATATTATGTTGTATATTGTATTGAATACATCTTGTGATAAAAAATGAAACATGACTTTTGTTCTTATTTTTTGCAAAGATTCTTATTATGAAAAACACATATAGGTATATAAATAGGCAACAAAACGTATTAATGAAACGAATAAATGTTCCAAATTGAATTAAAGATACACACAAATCTCTCATACTTACAAATCAGTATGGTGTGGACCAGGGCACTATCTTGGGTTGGAGAGAGGCATTCTGTCAAACATTCTACTCCAGCGATCTGTGGGCAAACTTTACACAAAAAGCCTACAATGCCTTGCGCGTCCAGTATAATAATGTGTTTAGGGCTCTGTTTCGGCTGCCACGATTCTGCAGTGCATCCGGCATGTTTGCTGACGCTAGCGTAGATGATTTCTACGCAATTATGCGTAAAAAAGTAGCGTCTGTGGTGCGGCGAGGTCGTGGGAGCCGGAATAGCATTCTGAGGATAATAGGCGACAGAAGTGATACTGTTCTGCTCAGTAGGTTCACTGAACTCCATGTGTTGGGGTACAGTCGGGATCGGTGAGCCTATTGAGTAGACCCCCCCCCCCCCCCATACTTAGTGTTAGGTTTAATTATTTATTATTTAATTGAATTTAATTATTGATTATTAACATTAGTTATAAGTGGATAATACTAACAAAATTGCATATGGACTTGGTCTGAATTAAATGATTTTTATTTTATTTTATTTATTATTATTTATTTTATAAATAACTTACCTAAGACAACAGCGCAACCAGTTACATTATTAGCTGACGACAATACAGTGACAATAAAATGTGAGGACAGAAATATTACGAAAATTACATTAACACCACTCTAATAAATACAATCAATTGGTTCGATATCATTAACCTTAAAATACTTTGCATAGGTATATAGTCAGGTGGCCAAGATTCTCATCCACCGTAAAGGTACTTTTCTATAGGTACATATGTGCCCAACCCAGTTCTGAAAATGGTCTTATCACATAGTGTTGGGATCGGTATTTTATCACATGTAGGACTATTGTAGCCAAAATGAATGAGTCAAAGATCTACTAAAGCGCTGCACGGTAATAATTTATGTCTCCTTATCCCCGATTTAGAACCTCGGTAAAGCTGAGAAATATCAAGTAATAAAATATCTAGACTTAAGTCACGTTAGCTAGCTTACTTAGTCTTCAACATAACCTGCCACCTCAAGAGGCTGGCATAAGGAAGATGGGTCAAGGCCAAGATACGGAAAACAGCACTCGGCTAGTATTATGAAGAAAACTAATTAATGGAATGGTTATAATAATAATTTTCTAAGTCTCCTTTTACATGTTTTAAGTTATTAGAGGTTGGTTTATATCATAAGTTTTGGAGAGCCATATACCACGGCCTCACAGAAAACCGGTTTGAAACAACCATAGCATTGTGTTTCGCCGTGTAAGTGAGGTTACTGGAGGCCCGATCCCTCACCTTATCTCCATTCGTCCTCAATCCCTAAATGTCTGTAAACTTACAACTTAATCCCCAATGATGAAGGTGAAGGTGAGGGTGAAGGTGAGCGTAAGGGTGAAGGTGAAGGTGAAGGTGAGCATGAAGGTGAAGGTGAAGGTGAAGGTGAAGGTGAAGGTGAAGGTGAAGGTGAAGGTGAAGGTGAAGGTGAAGGCGAAGGTGAAGGTGAAGGTGAAGGTGAAGGTGAAGGTGAAGGTGAAGGTGAAGGTGAAGGTGAAGGTGAAGTTGAAGGTGAAGGTGAAGGTGAAGGTGAAGGTGAAGGTGAAGGTGAAGGTGAAGGTGAAGGTGAAGGTGAAGGTGAAGGTGAAGGTGAAGGTGAAGGTAAAGGTAAAGGTGAAGGTGAAGGTGAAGGTGAAGGTGAAGGTGAAGGTAGAGATAGAGATAGAGATAGAGATAGAGATAGAGATAGAGATAGAGATAGAGATAGAGATAGAGATAGAGATAGAGATAGAAATAGAGATAGAGATAGAGATAGAGATAGAGATAGAGATAGAGATAGAGATAGAGATAGAGATAGAGATAGAGATAGAGATAGAGATAGAGATAGAGATAGAGATAGAGATAGAGATAGAGATAGAGATAGAGATAGAGATAGAGATAGAGATAGAGATAGAGATAGAGATAGAGATAGAGATAGAGATAGAGATAGAGATAGTTTCCTAGTACACAGAAGCATAAAGGTCGTGGTCAACGGTTATAATCATAATCATAATCATAATTCTTTATTGCATCCACAATGTAAGATAAGATGGTAATATTATGTATAGTAACAATCATGGACCCTGATGGGCACAGCAAATAGTAAATTAGAAGAGAGGCAGGCTTCTTTTGTATAGAATTATGCACAAGTATTTCATATTCTAAGTATGTATAGTATTGCTATTATATATTATATTTATATTTTAATAGGTATATATATATTTTTGTATTTTGTACATTATATTATAAGGTTATTCGTTCTAAATTTTATATAAAGTTATTGTTATATTTATTTTATTTTATTGTATTAATTATATATTGTTATATTTTTTGTTATAATTGAGTATTTGAGTATTTTATTGTTCAGTTTTTTTACATTTAAGTTACTTTTATATTATCTATATATTCATATATTATTTATTATATTTATATTACTTATAGTTTTGAGCAAGAAAAGGTGTTTGTTAATATGGTTATGTTTGTATAAAATTTATATTTTCAGGTTATTTGTTTATCCGTAAGATATTCATTGATAGTGTAGTATGCTTTATTTATTAATATTTGCTTTAGGGTGTTTAGGAATTTCGTGTCGCTAGGCTCATCTTTTATTTTGTTGGGTAATTTATTGTATATTTTGATGCACATTACATATGGGCTATTTGAGTGTAGTGTCATGTTGGATGTAGGTAGCATAAGCATGTTTTTGTGTCTCAGTGATCTGTTGGTGTGTCTGTCTCCGCGCTTTGTGAGCTATACTCTATGTTTGTGAGTATGCGGATTAGTTTTTTTGCAGTATGAAGAGTGATGGTGCGTCAGTGCTGTTTCCCCACAAGAGAATACCGTAGCTGAGCCGCGAGTGCGCATAGGCGTAGTAAGTACTCAGTGCTGTTGGTAGGTCAGTAGTTATCTTTACTTCGCGGAAAGCATAAATAAATTTAGATAGCTTGGATTTAGTGTTTTGGATATGTGTCTTCCAGTTAATGTGAGTATCTATTGTAAGTCCGAGTAGTGTGAAGTCAAGGTTAATGCTCCGACTACTTGTCTGTGAACGCTGGCGTCCCTCAAGGCTGCGTGCTATCGCCCATTCTGTTCCTTCTCCATATCAATGAGCGGAATAATTCCTCTGATTCCGCATCATTTCGACCGTTAATAACCTATACTAATATTATAACTATACCTATATATATATATATCATATATATATGATAGATATATATTGATGATATATATTTTGTAGGTATGATAGATAGATATTTTGTAGATTTCTAAGCCGCGGCCGGAAACTAGTTTTAAATATGAAATATTTTCTGATATTTTAAACACCACTGACAAACAGTGAAGGAAAACATTATGAGGAAACCTGGACTTATAATGTCTTATTATAGTCTGATATCGCCAATCCGCCGTATTTAATGCTCAAACCTCCCTGTGAGAAGAGATCTTTGCTCAGCAGTGGGTACTAATTGGCTGATGATGTTGACAATCCAGATATTTTGAAATAGGTCCCGATTGCTTCAACTCCAAATTACAAATTTAAGATACGACTTCTAGGAGCTGCTATGGCTGCTACGGCGTAGCAAGTGTGGGTGACTAAAATTTATTTATTTACATTTGTATCACACGGAACCTTTATTTACAATTTTATGTTTATAGTGGGTATCTACAGAGATTAGTCCCCCCCCATGGGGGATGAACCCCATCCTTCAAAAGACTTGCTGTGCACTTTTGTCTGCCCTGGTACAGCGGGTAATCGGGTCGGCGCCGATTGCTTGCCATTAAGTTATCCATTCTCAGTTAATTAACCTGAGTAAGTCGTTATTGTTAATAAATTTAGTATGGCTCTCGATACTTTTTAAAAATTAAGTAATCCCTCTGTATATCAGCCGCTTTTAAAAGCTGTTCCAACTGTCTACATATATAGAAGGTGCTATGTCCCTCTAGTAATATACAATGAGTATTAAGCATCTTATTGTAAACAATGTTTAATTTTCAAATCTAGAAATAAGACAATTACCTAATTTGCAGCTAATTAGTTAATTATTTGGTGCAAATTACAAAATAGTCCAACCTCCCCCCCTGCCTAGCCAATTTCATTGTCGATAATGGTTATTGTTGTAGAAACGAATCAAATGTATGGAGATTTTTAAAGGTTATCGATAACTTGCGTATTCTATAAACGAGTTTCGGTGCATTTGTTTATTTTTTTTTAAATACTCAAATTGGCTTGAGCTTATCAGATATACCTTAACAGAATTAAAGGTTCTTGACTAAAGGGGAAATAAAAGCAAATAGTACTGTTTTATGTTATATTTTGTAAAAATAAAACAATCAACCAATTACATAGTATAAACATAATGAGTGTTATATTTGTTCAAGTATAACATGCACTATTTAACAAATATAGTAATTGTGTGTTACTTCGAATTTCACCGGCCGTTATGGATTAAATTAATTTACAAATTAAACTTATTTACAATTAGCTATGTGATCCACCTTTCTTCCACTTTTCCCCAACAGTATACCCAGTCATAGGTCTCCCGGATATGCCACATGTGCCGACGCCTACTCTCCCGGTCAAATTGTCGGGTGAAGCAAATATACTCTTTGCTCGTACACCCGGTTTCTTTATAGCTTTGCTATGAAAGTTTAACTATTTGTTCTTCCCAGCTTCTCTTTCTTTCTCATATTGTTTCAATCTCTGTTGTTTCTTCTGCTTTTTCTTCATGAGGTATTCTTTGTTGTTCTCCTTGCCATTTCTGTAAAGGGAAATACGTGTTTATAGTTAATAAAACCTATTCCAAAAATTGGCATAACTCAGTAATGGTATACATGATAAGTAAAATAGAATTATAGTTATTTACAGAACAATGTAAGTAAATGATATTCACTTGTTTCTTAATGTTTTGTGAGAATCCCATTAGGAAGTACACAATGCAAAACCATTGAACAATAAACTCACTAACATAAAGGGATTCTATAATGGAACTACGATACAAACAGCATTTGCCATAAAACCTACTTAATATCCTTACAGTAGGACGTAGATAAAAACACGAATAAACAACAATTTGTAACGCCACAGTCAGCATCACGCATAGTGCAGTGTATAAGAATACACTAGGAATACAAATTACAAATAACACAGATTTAAGACAAAGAAATAACACGAGATAGAAAAGTAACACTTACTTCGTCAAACATGTCTCGCCAACTTGGGAGTTGTAAAAGTGTTTGTGTGAGCTTCCCTCATCGTCGGCCGCCAACACGGATGCTGCAGCACCACGATCGTTACCAGATCCATGAGTATTACACACTTTGGAGTCACCGTCTTGTGATTTTACAAGATCTTGTGTTAACTCTATTACTTCTTCCAAGTCAGCCTTTAGTTTCAGCAACTCCTCATTGTCACCATCAGCTAGTAGTGCTCCTTCCACCTAGAAATAAACAATTACTGTCCACATCAATGATCAAAACACAGGAGAAACATACCGCGATGACAATACAAATATCGATGACACCAAATTGTACCAACCTGTAGAAGTTGCAGTTTGTAATTTGATAAATCATCCGCCATTTTATAGAAATACTGCGCAAAGACTCAGAATTAAAACAATATTACAATTAACACAAACGTTACTGACGAGACCACCGGCCGGTACGCTCGACGAATGACGAATGACTGCTGTTTACTATTTCATGGTGGGTGTCATTGTGTACAGTGTTACCAACTTTGTAAAATATTTTCCCCATATAACTCAAATATTCTAAACGATTACCTAATACAGTTTAGTGGCTATTCGAAGAATTATAGACTAAAATTAAAATATCCAATAAATGCAATCAAAATTACGTATTGATTATTTTCCGTTCCCTAAATTTTGGGAGAACTCTCCTACGCTGGCAACACTGTACTTTATTCATTATGCTGTTCAGCTTTACAAAGAGTCGTTAGTTTTGATATTTTTAAAGGTGTATTCATCAATGGAATAGGAAATAAAAACGGAGCAGTCGGATAACCCGATGGTAAGAAATCGGCGCCGCCAAAAGATATTCGTAATAATATCTATCAGTAAAAACGCCATACATAATACACTTTTTCTTTCAACAGCTGTTGTCTTCCTTTCTTCAAACCCTACTAAAAGGCCAACAACGCTGGGGCTGTCAATGGGCGGCGCCGACTATACACTGTCAGGTGATTCGTCTGCTCGTTTACCGCCCTCTGCCATGAATAACTGAATTTGGAATCACGCCTACCATTGCCCGAAGGGTATGCAAAGTGCTAGAACTGTAAAACTCCCCTTTCGCTAGTTATATTATTTTATAAGTTGCATGTACATCTATATCATAGAAAGAAGATTCGTCCCGCGTCTGTCTGTCTGCAAGAAAAAAAATATCGTTTCGATATTTCGAAGAAATCGCCTAATGACTAAAAAAAGAAATTAAATATTAAGTTGCTATGTCGTTAATAACAAAAGTTGTTATACTAGGTCCTGTCTTTGCAAAAATATTCGAAGCGGCACCACATAAAATGCTTGTATTGTATTAAAATGTCCATGTTCTAACTTGGCACTAGATATTCTTAATCTGTCACTACTACCTCAGTAAGCTGTTTACAAAGATAAACAAAGGACGATGAGTGAGACAATACTATGTGTGTATTCATACTAGAAAATTAGAAATAATAGTAGAATAGAAAATGACACGTGTACTTAGTTTTACAAAGGATCCACAAGCAAAGGAACTCCAGGCTGTTTTTATTATTTTTATTTAATACGAATTTAAAAATATGTGAATTTTAATGGGATGCATTTTGAAAACATAAGTATGTAGTAGTAAAATATATACGGCCTCATTACAAAAGAAGGCTTTTCTTTAGTATAAGTCTAAACCATTGTGCAGTTTTTGTATTTCCAATTGAAGGTAGGTGAGAATAAGGTTCAAAATTTAAAACTGCACTCAATTGTTTAAACCTAGACTAAAGATAAATCTTGTTTTGTAATAAGGAGGATAATATTTTGGTAGTTGGAATCAATACATGTCCTTGTAACCCTTCAAGAACTTCTGTTAAGTGCCATTGAATTTTGTTCATACAATACGTCCTCTTTAAATGCCTGGTTAGACCTGTGACTCTGTATGGATTCTGATTTAGCCAAGAGAAAGGCAGTTGTGACATTAGTCTGGAATTGATTGAAACTTTCGCATGTTTAGATATTAGCATAGATTGTGTCTGAATATGGAATCGAAGGCTTCAAAATATTTCTAAGGAATTTTATTGCTTTGATGAGCAGAAACCAAGTATTTAATATTGTTTGTTGTGTTTGCTTGTATTCACGGGCCCACAAGATCCCGGATCTATAGAAGGTACAAAGGGCCGAACCCAACTTACAAAGGTCTTTGAACAACTTTAATATTGGTTAATTAGGACTATTATTGTATTTGTCAATTTACCTGTAATCACGTTTTTAACTAATCGTTCGATTTACTAACAATGTAGGACGAAGGGAGATAGCAACATTTGATGAAACAAAAGCCTTTATATGTTAAAGAAGGACAAAATATTATTACAATGAGACTAATGGTTTTCTCCCGATCAGGTAATATGTCGTCAATACAATAGAAGTTATAGTTTAGCAGTTCGCTCGTCACTTCGTCAGTTGCTCTTGAGATATCACACAGTGTAGTCGTGTACTGAGTGTTTTCGTAGATTATTAAAGAAACGAGTTTTTATTATATTTCTAAACATGGGTATTGAGAGTTTTGATTGGAGTTTGGAAGTAGAGTTGTCAGGTATGTTTATTTTTCTTATTTTACTATTATAGAAGTATAGTCGTCACTACAATTAAACAGTTACTAATCTCAATCGTCTTTTTTGTATTACAGAAAATTCAAAAGCACCAAATGAAGAATTACTGGAGGTACCTCGAGAGACACAGTCTGTCGGGGCAGAGCAGGACTCTGCTTTAAGGGACTCATACTCATCAAGCGCTGGAGCTCGGCTGCTGAGGACAGATCTGTCATTAAGTCAACATACATTGGACGCTAAGGCCGCTAGGAGAAATTTAAAGAAACGGCTAGACCTCAATACGTGGCGAGAGGAGCTGGCAAGAAGTGATGATGACATAAACCATCTCCAGCCAAACGTCGCTCCAACCACGACAGAGACGGTTACTTCCGCAGTAGCCAAAAAGCAAATACCTCCCAGACCTCTTAAAACCCCAATGTCTGCCGGCCAGGATAACATTGATATTTGGACGGTCACAAATAACCTGCGGAGTCGGTACGACCTGAACTCTTGGCGACAGCCATAGACGACAAAAGATTGCTTTCGTGGACTAAATTTAAATATATTTTTTATTGTTAATAGCTAAATAGAATGTGCTGTAATATTGTACTGAATCTTTATTTTTTTTGAAGAAATTGTTTATTATTTTAAATGTATTCTTGCATATATTATATAAATTTCGTTAGCAATAAAATAGGATTAAATTTTCATTAAACTTAAATAAAATCAAATTTTAATGTGTGTCTCAATTGTTTAGTATGTAACAATTTTATTGTATTGTGATATTATATTATTATGACCCTTACAATGTTTATTGCTTGAATAAATTAATTCCAAAACATATAAACTATAATTGTTACTAGTTAGGAACACGATGCATGCGAATACTTTTGTTTGCAATGTGCCATGTGACCCTCATTTCGGGGCTTTAAACCCCAATGTTTTTTCAATAATTAGACTAAAAAATAACGAATTTTAAAATTAATGTCTGTACATATCTATTCATATGAATTTTATTTTGATTTATTAGTTGTAGTGACAGATTTTTTAGTTTAAACCATGTATATATGCTTAAAATAAATGATTTAAATCACATACATTACTTGCAATAATGTCTCCCTAAATGATGGTACGACACCGTCACCTGCAGTGCTGTAGACTATTAATTAAATTTATTACTGACATTGGGACGATAGAAGAGATCGGTCTAAGCGATGAGACCGCCCGACAGACTCGCCCCTTGTACTATTTGTACTTACATACTTATGATGATGGTGATAGAATTTATACATACAATTTGTACTTAAATATGGTGTATAGCAAATAATTTACTTATTACTAGCCCCCGTCTCGACACAGATCAGCCGCTATTTCCCCAACTCTCTCAGTGATTTCTTTTTTCATTAGACGATAGTGACGACGTCATTGTATTAATTTTTCTCTTTTAAAGTATTAAGTTCTTTACCTATTGAGTCTCCCATCCTTCTCTGCTTCTCGTGGTTCGCATAAATACAAATACATTACGTTGACGTTACCTCCGCTCCTGTACTATTAATGTCCGTATCAGATACAGATTGCTCCAGTGCTTTAGTGACGCTCATGCTTTTAATCAACTGTTTGCATTAATCAAATTTAATTCGTAGCAACTGATTCTTCGGCGTAGCAGGTGATACTACGGCGTAGTAGCGTCTGAAAAAAGTAGATCGACCGACTCTGGGCGGAGATAATCCAAATAAATAAAAAGTTTAAGAAAACTTTTGCAGACATTATTGAGTAATGAAATACCGTTTTAGCTAGCATTGTTAAAGTTATGGTGTGAGTCAATGATGACGTCATCACATTGAACCTGAAGTACCTTAGACACGTACAAAAATGTTTCCCCGATAGTTTCGGAGAAATTACCTAGTTTCTTAGTTTTAGTCTTTATGAGATAAGAACAAGTTGTGTATATCAAATCCAAGGTTGTTAACAAATAAAGCGGTGAAATTTTGCAAAGACATATCCTAACCCTCCACATAAAATGCTTGGTATTGTATAAAAATGTCCATTGTTCTAACTTGGCACTAGATATTCTTAATCTTTTACTACTACCTCAGTAAGCTGTTTACAAAGATAAACAAAGGACGGTGAGTGAGACAATGCTATGTCATAAATATTTACTAGAAAAAGTAATGAATAAAACATTTGCTTTTTGTATTTAAGGGATTATACTTCGGAATACGGATATTTTAATATCGTTTTATGTAGAAGATTAGATTTTGTCTGCTTGTTTCCATTCACAAGATCCTAGGGTCAGGATCTTTGGAAGGTACAAAGGGCCGAGTTTCAAAGGCTTTTTGAACAATTTTAATAATAGCAAAATAGAACTATTATTGTATTTGTCAATTTACCTATAATCACGTTTTTAACTAATCGTTCGATTTACTAACAGTGTAGGACGGAGGGAGATAGCAACATTTAATTAAACAATAGCCTTTATATGTTAGAGAAGGACAAAATATTCATTGGCGAAACAATGAGACAGCAATACTCAATGGTAGAAAGAGAGAGCATATGGTTTTCTTCTGATCAGGTAATACGTCGTTAATACAATAGAAGTTTTAGTTTAGCAGTTCGCTCGTCACTTTACCAGTTGCTCTTGTGACATCACACTGTGTAGTCGTGTACCGAGAGTGTAAGGCACTTCCTAGATTATTAAGTTAATTTTATTCTAATTATAAATATGGGCAAAAGTTTTGAGAGTTTTGTGTGGAGTGTAGAAGTGGAGTTGTCAGGTATGTTTTTATTTACTA